AGTTTTTAGGTTCTAATTTAACGGACTGTCATGATTGACCAAAGAAAACCAAAAAACATCTTCACTCATTGGTCAACCACATTAACTGTCAAAAAATTTGAGATCTAAAACTTCTACTTCCCCCAAATATTTTCTCAACAATCAAACAGAAAATTCAACACAAGCCCACAATTTAAAAAACAAAACCAATTCCATTAACAGCATATAATTTTAGACGTAGAACAAGCATGAAAAAAAACACTACTTTAAAAAAAGAAAGAAAAGAAAAACTAACCGGAGAGAACAGCCGTCGTTTAAACTTTGTGTAGTAAATATAGCTAGTTTTGTAGGTGCAATTGTGGAGAAAGAGAGGTTTAAGAAGAAAGTGAAGAATTTGATTGATGAGCTTCAGCTTATAGAAACGAAACGTGGCGTGTGGTGGTGGTCGTCTTCAAAAACTCTTAGTTTCAGAGGCTTTGAGTTTGACGTCAAGTTGCTGGCAGTGGCACATGGCATTATAATAATATCACTTTGAAAGAGAGATTGAATTTTGAAAGGTTAGTTTAGTTTTCTTGTACAGCCACTCTCACCACCTTTTTTGTCTGTATATGAATATTTATTTATTATTAATAATTTTTATTTTTATTAGACTGATAGTATGTAACGCCCACATTTCTATGAGCCCCTTAAATTTAAAAGAATATATAAATTCTAAAATAACCCTTAATTATGGATTTCTTTTATGAAATATTTTTAATTCCTTGTACAAGATATTATCAAAACCAACTGATGTCATTGTAACAAATCCGTACGAATTTGATTTTGAATCATAAACGTTACCTACCAAAACAAATTGATGTTGACATACACCTTCACTTTTGGTTTTTGGAACGCCATAATGACAATGTGTTCAATTAAATATTTAAACAAAAAATGTTTTTTTGTTTTCTTTTAATATATTGATGGTTTTTTTTTTTTTTAATATTTTGAGTGGGGTTAGGCGGCATTGGTACCTTTCAATAGGATTTGTAAAATAATTCTAAGAATATGTTTGGTATATTATTTAAAAAAATTTTTTTGAAAAAATTTAGTTACTTTTTAATCCCCTACATTTGTTAATTTAGCTAATATCTCTTACAATAAAAATTTATAAATAACAAAAACACCCTGACCCACCTAATTAAATTTTAGCAATCGGCTATCAATGTCAGATGGGGCGTTAGTCATTGAAATGGTTATCGATCGGTTGGATCTGACTGGTCGTGGGCGACTTGCCTTTTTAGGCCAGATCCATTGTAAATTTGGTGGCAAAAAAAGCAGATCTAGGGCAAAAAATGGTTTTGTCGTTAACGATCAAAATTGGTAGGCAATGACGACAAAAATATGGCGTTTCTGACCGATCTACTATGGATTTAGTCAAAAAAAGCAAGATCGATCATAACTAGCCAGATCCAGTCGGTTGTTTGGTGCTGACTGTTGGCCGGTGATAGTGACTTACGGTGGGTAGGATGGTTTATAAAATTTTATTTTACATAAATTTATTGTAGTCTAATATATTTTTAATAATTATTTTTTGGTAAAAATAAGTAATAATATTTTTAAACGCCTACAAACTACTTCTCTTTATCTTAATTAAATAAGTAAAAATGATTTTGATTAATAATAATATTATTGTGTTGTAAAAAAATAAATTTAAGCATGCGGATTTATCATATAATTTAATTTAATAAATTTATAAACAGGTTAAGATATTATGTTTACTTTTTGATTTAAAATATTGACACAATTTACTAACCATACAGCTAAATTAAGACAATGATTGGGCAAAAAGAAATTAGATAGTAGTAGTTTAATACTAATTTAGCAACCCTTTTAATCATCCTATTGATTAAATGAATTAGGGATGCTCAAAACTGGGTACCTGATCGGCTAGGGCTTTTGCTGAACTGGATCAAAAATTCAGTTCAAGTTCTAATAGTACCTGATAACTGAACTGATTTATAAATTACCTGGTTTTGAACCAAATCAAAAATTTAAGTTTTCGATTTGGGTATCTGGTTTTTTGCACAGTTAAATTGGTACTCGAATAAAAAATCTGGTTTCTTTCCACTATAACTCAAAATTGAACCGATTTCTAGGTACCTGATTTTTTCGATTCGGTTTCAGTTTAGATACTGAGTTCTGGGTATTTTTGAACACCCCTAAAATGAATGGTATTGAATAATATAAAAAATTTAGTTACAATTTCTAAATATGTTATAAATTTATTAAAAGGATAATTAAGAAGATACCATTTACAATGAAAAATATAAATGTTAGAATTATTCAGTATATATTAGTTAGGATTAAGGTTGACTAATTATTGGAAAATTATTTTAAATCAAAAGAATTTGACCTGTCAATATAAAATAATTTCCTCTTATATAATATGGTATATACCAATAATATTAATAAAAAAATATTAACTATAAATTTGACACCACAATAAATCATTAAACCTTGTTAAAATACCAAAATTATCTTATAAAAGTAAAAACATAAAAAAAATATATATAATTTTTTTTTCTAATAAATGGATGCTTTAAATTAAAGGACGAAGTTACACTTTTTTAATCATCAAAATAATTAAATAAACCCTTTTTCACTTTATATTAAGTAGATATAAAATATTTGATCTCAAACGTGAGAAGGCGCGTGGGATATAAAAAATAAAATGGAACCAAAGAATATTTCATAATAAAAAAAAAAAAAACAGAGAAGACAAAGAAGGAGAATCATCAGTGAGAAGCAACCAATGTTTCACAGTCCACGTATTACCTTTTTTTTTTTTTTTTTTTTTTTGTCAACGAAGTAATCAACTTAGCAACCCTTTTGTTTTTGTATTTATTTAATTTTAATTGTCTGCCTCTTCACGAATTCTAATGTGTAGATAAAATAGATAGGAAAATAACAACATCCACCTAGGTATTGTGTGGCATGATCCATCACAAAATGGACCAATCACAAGTTGCCACCTACACTGATTTTCATTTTAATTTAGCCCCACCTTATTCTATGATTGATTTTTATGCCCATCAATTCAAATAGATAACTATGAAAGTGAAAATCTTTTTCGATAATGTTACTTGTCTTATTGCAACCATTGAGTTTGAATCGACTCTCATATTTAATAATTTGAAATTTTGAATATGATTTTAGGGTTAGTCTCGGATTGATATAACTTTAATATTTTTTATTAAACCTTGAAAACAATTTACCAAAAAAATTAATTATTTGATTAAATTTTTATGAAATAAATTTTTATTCAAGTTCAATTTGTAATTGAGACTCTTATTTGAGTTTTATACCCTTATAGAAATATAATAATTATAAATATTAACATAAATAAAATTTCATACTTATGTTAGAGGAGCTACTTTTGATCCATTATTAGTAAACTATAAATGTCATATAATTATATGATATTAGCGAAATCAAAAAGTCATTTTAGTGACATGTTACTTCTCTTCTAAAGGGAAAATTGAGGTTTTTTTTTTTTTTTTTTTAAATAACCAGAGTGTTCAGACTAGTTTGTACGTACCTCAACTAATCATTTAAGCCCATTAAATACTCTACAAGTCAAATGTTCTAAGTAAACCACAAATGTGGTAAATAACCTCAATATGATTTAAATCCAAGAAGTCAATGAAGGTTTTCCAAATGGAGATTAAGGCGAAGGAAATGAAATGTCTAAATTGCCCCTTTTTTTAATTACTTTGGGGTAACAGCAGTTACGATTACCATTTAGAAACATCTAAATAGTATTACTTTTTAAAATTTGTGAATTAAATTATACTTTTATCCAAACCTAAAAGGGAAATAGTAATTAACCCAAGTAACATTATATGTCATAACTTGATAGCAATGAGATAGTATATAACACTGGAAAAACCTCGCCATCAAGTAGACCATAGTCCAACAAATTAGGAGAGAATCAACAGATTTCTTTTCGCAAGAAGGACCATTTAAAGTACTTGTTGGAAAGAAAAAAGGGTTACCAAAGAGAAGCATATAAAAAGCTTTATGTAGTTCAAAATTTCTTTTGAAGTGGACGTTTATTGCTATCTATTTTGGCTTCCTAGCACCATCACGTATTAAAACAAAAAACCCACGGATTAACTTGTGAAGCTCTATTTTTTTTGGTTTAACATAAGAGTGAAAATGTAGTAAATCTTAGTCCAACCCAACCCATCAAAATTAGATTGGTTTGAAGTGGGTTGAACAATTTAAAAGGTCCACACCAAACAGACCATGGCTTCAAAGTGAGCTGGGCTAATACAGGCCCAACTTAACATCATGGACCACCTTATATACAGGCTGCTCATATTGGGCCAACCATAAGCTAAAACGTAACATCAGCTCCCAATCCTTCCTCAAAACTTCATGTAACTTGTAGCATCCTAATATTTTATCAATACATTTTGGCCAGGAGGAGAACATTTTTGGATGCAACACCAGCTTCTGTCTTCTACATCCAGATACCGATAATGAAACAGGGTTGGGGAGCATAAAACGTCACACTTGTAATATACTGCATCAACTAATAACAAAAATGTTGAGTCATTCCCAAGTCAAATTTATGTTGTCTACAAAAATAAATTGCAAGTGTAAAAGCATCAAAACTGTCCTTTGATTTTACGTTAAGATAAATCAAACAGATTCTGCAACTCTAGGAGGAATCACTTCAGAATACTAAAACAACCCCTTTATTACATATGAAAAACAAGAGTGGGATTGAAAATTTACCTCTTCAAAGGCACGCAACATCTTAATCACAAAACTTCCGATGCTGAAACAAGATGCAAATAAATGCCACCTATATACAGTTTACAAGCACCTGCTAACATCGCAAAACAAAGCAGTCATGGATAGGTGTTGTAGCTTGGCTGTACTTTAGGAGACTTACACTTGATTTCCTCTAAGCTTGCTTCTAGCTCTTCTTGTTAACCATAGATATGAAACCATGTGGAATCCAAGTTCGCTTGTAGATTATGTTCAACTCAAAAAGCAACAATGTTGATGCATTCTAGAAATGATATGAACCTAGACTTCTGAATCTTCAACTTCAGTACTTATCACAAAGCTGGGAAATGCCAAGGTTATGTCCCTGGAGAACAAGAAAATGGCATGTTACTGTTCTAAAAATGAACTTTTTTCAAGGAAAATGGACTTGAAGTAAATTTAACTCTATGATTTCATGCCTACTTGGTGATGTACGCGGTTCATTGCTTAATTTTTAATCAGTTTTACAGAAGCACAAACAAGTTAAGACTTACATCAAATATGGAAGAGTCATGTTCTTTATCAGAGAGGGATTCTTAGACACAAATTCTTTCCATTCTTCTAGGTCAATTTTTCCATCACCTTTTGTATCAGCATCACTAAAGGTCTGCGAAAAAAGACAAAGTTCAGGACTGGAGGTGGACCAAAAAAGCATGAAATAGTGTAGTTGAAAGGGTTAAGTTATCTGAACCTTATTCACAATAGTGTCAATGAAATCATCTGAAAGTACGAGATCTGATTCATGCAGCAGTGCCAAAACCATCTCCTTCAACTGACAAGTGATATAGAATTATATGCTTAAGTTGCTAAATGCAAATTTTGGAAGCACATTCTAGAAGCCTTTACCATACTACAAGGGCCACATATATAAAAGAAACTATAATGGTAAGTGGTTGCAATATTTACCTCCTCCCACTCAATGAAACCAGTCTGCCTTAGATCATACAATCTGAAAGCAACTGCAAAAGCATTTTTGCAAATTTAGTAGGTATTTAAGAAGCACAGAAATCATCTAGTGTTTATGAGATTTTTCAGTTTAACCTCAAGAAATATTCATATAAAAGAAGAAAGGTTTAGTAGCATGCATAGGAGATGATACATTTCCAACACAGAAACACTTGTAAGAATTCTATGATAGAGAAAATGATCTTACATGCAATTTTGTCCTCCACAGGTGCATTTGGATGAAAGACGCCCAACGATCGAACAAATTCCCCAAACTCGATGACCCCATTGCGCTTGACATCAAACAGATCAAAGATCTACAAAAAACAAAAAAAAAAAAAAAAAAAAACACAAAAATTAATGTAAAACAGTATCCACATCAGTGCAGAATATGACAGCGACTTTTGCTGTTAAAATAGTTATTGAGATACAAGACATACAAGTATAGATCAATATCCATAACTAGGAGCCAGCTATACGCACCCTGTCTGCAAAAAGATTCTTCCTATTTCTGTTCCTGAAGAGTGCAAACTGAAACTCTTCCTGCTCATAAGAACCAAATACAATTACCTTTCTTTAGAATGAAGTCCAACTTAAAACCAATCACTTATAATGAAGTTTAACTTAAAATTAGAAATAAGAAATGAGAAATATACCTTGTGAATTAGTCCATTATTAATTACTGAACTGCTTAATTTCTTAAACAGTTCATACAAGGCCTCTACTTCACTAACACTGACTGCAAAGAAGAGGAAACCACATTGTATTTTCAAAATCAGTCTCAAGGAAAATTGTTAGGTGATTCCAAACAGAAAGGAATCAGGCAGTATAATCCTATTGAGCAGCAAGCTCATGGCTGAAACTGGAAAAATTAACTAGCTAAAATTGTATCACAAGACCTGTAACTTCCATATAATTAGCCAGGTTCTCCATTTTTTTCATGTCTTAATATGCCACATATGATGTGAATGTCATCTTTCTATATTTCAATGCCAGTGAACTCATGATTATTTTTAATAATATATAATCTGATTTAATAATTCAACCCACCCAATAAGATATCCCAAAAGCTGCAACAGACTAGGCTCACTACTATCGGATAGTAGCATCACTTTATTCAAGTCAAGTTTTACTCTGAGATCTTTCATTCCCACTCGAATGCCAAAAATTGAACATATTCCAAGAACCAAGTAAACTAATTCACTGTTTTACTTTAAAGAAATCATTTTCAAGGTGCAGGTGTCATGAATTTTGTACCATTCTAACTTTAAGGAGAATATATGCTTTGTTATCACTTTAATAACATCTAGAGAATGATAATGAGAGACATAATGCAGGATATAAGCAAACAGACTTGGAAGATAAATAATTAAGCACAGGCAAAATAAGTTGGAAAAGGCAAGAATTTTACAGGTGGGGGATAATGACTGACAAGGTGTTTCAGAAGCAAGAACAGTGGGCTCCTCATAACCAGGCGTTCGTCTACTTTTTTTGGTCAAGACACAACCCATGAGAAGAGCTAGTACAATTTATCCACAAAACATTTGACAATCAATAATACTCATACGTTCACCACCTGCCAATATCCAAGAAATTTATATCTGTCAGCAATAATGCTGCACACTTGCAGTAACATTATACATGCAAACACACATAGAGAGATATAAAGTGGTTGATTGATTTAGTCACTTAAGTCATTATGCATGCTGATGATGACTAAAAGCGGTTCAACATAATGTTAGAATCATTAGTCGATATGATAAATTGATAAAAGCAAATCCTACCGCTTATAATGTTTCAATTGAACTATCTGCAATACAAGATTTCTTGAAATTGATGGAATTAAATGGACAGAGGCACAAGGCTACTTATACATGTGAACAGGTAGAACCAACTTTTCTTTTGGACACAACTACCAGGAACTAGAGCCTTATTAAAGAAAAACAAAGGCTTATCCCATAATGGAGTAAAAATCAGTTTGCCCCACTAGAGTTCTCAAAAGTCTAACTTTTCGGGCAACTATGGCTTTTTTAATTACCTTACCCCACATGTTTTAGAAACTAATCAATTAACCCCTAAAATCCTAACTATGTCCCAACCCTGTTAAATTCATAAGGGTATAATGGTATTCCTTTGGGAGAAAGGAAGCAAAAGGAGGGGAGAAAGAACTCTATACCTTTGATTCTCTATAGATCAATGCTAGTTACCCTTCTGAAATATTTGGTTTAACTTTAGTAATCATTTGGGTCCAAAATCTCAAAAGTAGATTTACTTTGTTCCCCTAAATTCATCAATAAAATCAAAGAAAATAAAAAAACCATTAATCAGAAGACAGTACTAGAAAATGTACAAAATCCATTATTCCTAATGGACGGCTGAGTTCTCTCAAGAAAGAAAAGACACAAAGCAAAAACGTAAGATATTTTTAAGAAAACCCTTTTCAACTAATACTATACAATTTAATCTCCATTAGGATCAAGCAACCAACAAGCTAATCACCAACTTGAAGATTTGTAGGATATTTAAATATACAAAGATGTGGTGGAAATTTCAGAAACTTCCATCATCCCTAATAAATTAATAATAATTGAACCCCTAATGCCAATAAAGCTTATGCAAGCAGATCTGACCTCCCTGATAAACTCCAAAAACTATGAGATATTCAAGAATTGAAGTCTGAAGATGTCAGTCAAGCGCTTATCAACAAAAAAATACATATTAAATTAAAAAAAATCCCTAAATTTTTTTATTCTAATAATTAGATTAATTTTAAAAGAGACCAAAATTGAGTTCATCTTGGAAACTAATAATAGTTTATCAGAATTAAAGCTCTTAGTTATTGAATAAATAAAAATGAAAAAACAGAAAGAGCAAAAAGCTATTAACCCAAAAGTCAGGAATGTCTCATTGAAGAAACTGAGATGTGTCTTCAAAATTATTAATTTTTCTTTCAGCAGAAAATTTTTACATATTTTTTTTCTTCCAATTTTTGGGCCACAGACCTGACGCAAGCTAAAGGCCCAGTCAAAATAATATAATCTTTTATTTAGGGAACCAAAGTTCATTTTGTTTTCTTTTCCTTTTCCATGATTTTCTCAGCAACCAAACATAACATAATGTGTACATGTAATAGTTTATGTTATCATTATAATTTTATAAATGCTTCACAAGAATCAAGAAACACATTTGCCCGAAGTTGTTTTTTTAAAAACAAAACATTTCAGACTTCTAATACTATTTTTCAAACCCCAGAACGCATCTACTCTGTTTGGTTGCCAAGAAAATGTAGGGAAGAAAAAGAAAGACAGTTTTTAGGTTCTAATTTAACGGACTGTCATGATTTGACCAAAGAAAACAAAAAAAAAAAACATCTTCACTCATTTTGGTCAACCACATTAACATGTCAAAAAATATTGAGATCTAAAACCTTCTACTTCCTCCCACATATTTTCTCAACAATCAAACAGAAAATTCAACACAAGCCCACAATTTTAAAAACAAACCAATTCCATTAACAGCATATAATTCTTAGACGCTAGAACAAGCACATGAAATAAAAAACACTACTTTAAAAAAAGAAAGAAAAGAAAAACTAACCGGAGAGAAACAGCCGTCCGTTTAAACTTTGGTGTGAGACAGCTGGGAAATATAGCTAGTTTTGTAGGTGCATATTGTGGAGTAAAGAGAGGTTTAAAGAAGAAAGTGAAGAATTTGATTGATGAGCTTCAGCTTATAGAAACGAAACGTGGCGTGGTGGTGGTCGTCTTCAAAAACTCTATAGTTTCAGAAGGCTTTCTTGAGTTTGGACGTCAAGTTTCGCTGGCTACGGCTGGCAATGGCATTTATAATAATTACACTTGGAAAGAGAGAACTTGAATTTTGTAAAAGGTTTTTATGTTTCTTGTACAGCCGACTCCACCAACCTTTTTTGTCTGTATAATTGAATATTTATTTATTATTAATAATTTTATTTTCCTTAGACAGATATTACTGTATATATAGTATGTATGCCCCACTAATTCTCTGATGAGCCCCGTTTAAATTTAAAACGAATATATATAATTCTAAAATAACCCTTAATTATGGATTTTCTTTTATGAAATAATTTTTAATTCCTTTGTACAAGATATTATCGAAGACAAAACCAATTCATGTCATTGTAAAAAAATCATATATTTCATGAATATACAACTCACAGAATAACAAATCCGTACGAATTTTGAATCATAAACGGTTACCTACCAAAACAAATTTGATATTGACATACAACCTTCACTTTTCGTTTTTTGAATAATATTAGCTTTACAAAGAGGTGTATAAAGAGTCATATAAAGAGACAATCTATGCCCTTAAAAGAAAGGAAAAAGAGAGAGAGAGAGGCAATTATAAATTTTAAAGATAGAGATTATCTCTTTGTATGCCTCTTTATAAGGCTAGTGTTACTCTTTTGGAATCGCCATAATTGACAATGTGTTCAATTATAAATATTTAAATAAAAAATATTTAGGGTGCGTTTGGCTTATTGTTTCTGCCCATATTCCTAATCTTTGGCTGGTAATTCATCGATCTGGCCTTTTCCAGCTAGATCCACAGTGGATTTGGCCGGAAAAGACCAGATCTGGCCGTCAGTGATGGCCAAAGAAATGGCCATCGTTGATGATCAACGACGGCCAAAGATGGCCTTCTTTGGCCGTCGTTGACCGTCAACGGCCACATATAGCCGTAGATCTGGCCTTTTCCGGCCAGATCCGTGGTGGATCTGGTCGGAAAAAGCCATAGTGACGTCATACCGGCCAGATCTGATCGGTATGTGTCGTTACGTAATTTTTCTACTAGATTCCGGCGGTGGTGGCCGGAATCTGGCATTGCGGGTGGTGGGGGTCTTTTTGTCATTTTACATATTTTTATATATTGGGGTATTTATTAAATTAGCAAACTTAGGGGGTTTTTTTTATAAATTTATAAATTTTACCCCGTAATACTCCCATATTCAATTATCCAATACTATCCCCAAAATCCTATCCAAAATAATAAACCAAACGCACCCGTTTTTTTGTTCTTTCCTTTTATATGTATTTGATGGTTTTTTTTAATATTTTGAGCGGTTGTTTAGGCTGCTATTGGTACACTTTTCTAATGGGATATATAAAATCCTATTTTGAATATATTTTAGGATATGATTTTGAGGATGTGTTTGGTACATTATTTAAAAACATTTTTTGGAAATATTTAGATTACTTTTTACCCCTACATTTGTTAATTTAGTTAAACAACCCCCACAATAAAAATTTATAAATTAGATTACTTTTTAATCCCCTATATTTGTTAATTTAGCTAAACAACCCCCACAATAAAAATTTATAAATTAACAAAAACACCCCGACCTACCTAATCGAATTTTGGCAATCGGCTATCACTGTCGGATAGTGGCCGTTAGGTGTTGGAATGGTGCACGATCAGTTGGATCTGACCAGTCGTGGGTCGATCTTGCCTTTTTAGGCCAGATCCATTGTAGATCTGGTGGTCGAAAAAGGCCAGATCTAGGGCAAAAAATTGGTCGTGCGTTAACGATCAAAATTTGATAGTCAACGACGACCAGATATGGCCGTTTTTGACCAGATCCACTACGGATCTGGTTGAAAAAGGTAAGATCAGTGCATGATCGGCCATATCAGTTGGTTGTTATGACGCTGACTGTTGGCAGATGATAGTGACTTGGGTGGGTAGATGTGCTTTTATTAATTTATAAACTTTTATAGTGAAATGTAATTATTAAATGTTTTGAGTTGAATATAATATAATTAGATTTTGAATAATATTAAAACAAATATATTTTTTATTGTTTAGGATATGATAGTAGAATAGGATAAGGTGAAAAAAAGTTAAACAAACGAAAGATATTTTTTGAGCAGGTTTTAAAATATTTAGGAAATATTTAATATATATATATTTTTTAAATTACAGCGTTTAATCTCTCCTCTGTAAATAAAAGTAATCCAAAAATAAATTTAAAAGTGCAATATTACCAAATCCTTTATTATGATGATGATGATGATAATAAGTAAAGAACATAGATAAATTATTATCATAATATAAAAGAGAATTTTTCAAATATATTGGATATTGCATTATAGGATAAGAGCAAAATGGATATGCACTGACTCTTAGATTAGTCAGACTCCAAATTTAATAATGGTTTGACTTTTGATCTTATCAAACAATTTAGTCGTATAAGTAATCTTGCCTATCAATAGGTCTTTTTACCTAATTTTAAAATTTGAAACCTCAATTTTAATATTGGAAATGACTAATTGATATTATTAAAGAGAAATGTACTAATTGATTTTATTAAAGAGGAATATACATGTGCAACGAAATCTTATAAATTTTTGTATATTAAAAGATATGAAAAAAATAAATAACATAGAAATACAAAAAGTTTAATTTATTGTATAAAAATCTTTAAAAATTTCTTTATATCTCTAACATTATTGAATATTAAATACATTCTTACAAAACTAAACTCTAAGTTTAAGATTGGTATTACACTAATTGTAGTAATAAATTTGTAAAAATAGATACATAATAATCAATATTATTCAATAATGTTAGACATATAAACAAATCTTACAAAAATTTGTGTACAAACTAATGTGACAAAAAATAAGTAGAAAAATTAAATAAAAAGTCAAACTCATCATATTCATTTTTTATTTATTTTCTACTACATCCATTTGTACACAAATTTTTATAAAATTTGTTTATATGTCTAACATTATTTTATTCTCATACGATTAATGTTCTCCCAAAAAATAAAAATAAAAATAATATTATATGATACATATCTACTATTATTGAATGTGCTCCGACTATATTAATATATTGGGTATCATTTGTTTCATGAGAGACCGGTAAAATACTAAATGCCCTAACAAATTTGGGAAACTATTATATATTCCCTGAAATTATTAAAATTCCTCTAAAAAAATATTAAACTTCTTCAGAAATTTTAAAAAACAAAAGTTCCAAATAAAGTTGTATTTGTAATTATCAAAAATCATAGAACGTTTGAGGATAACTCTCTTTAAGAGGGATAATATTAACCTGATATATTTGTAATTTTATAAAATGAATTAAATATCGCATGAAAATTCATGACGTATTGAGAAGCACAATTCAATTTGTGTTGGTATAATATATGCCACCAAATATTTATTGAAGAATTAAGTAGACGACAATTGTACATGTGTGTTAATTATGTAATTTAATCTATTGATTAGGAATAAAGTTTTAAATAATTAAGTAGTTGAGTTGGGTTTTGGTCCACTTCTTGCGATTAGACATGGCAGACGGATAATAAACCCGCCGGTCTATGGGTATTCGGTTAGTTTTAGCGGGTACAGGTTCATGCACCCGTATCCAGTTTGCCTGTTTTTCTTAGGGGGCGTTTGGTTGAGAGCAATGTAGGATTACTGAGGTTATGTCATCTTATATTACTTGATTACTGCGTTTGATTGTCAAGTAATATAAGATTTCGATAATCTTCAAATACCAATAGTAGTTACTGTTAGTAATATTAGAGGTAATCTGATTACCTCTATTTTCTTAAGTATTATAAGATTACCAGGGTAATCTTTTTTTGTTACAATTCTATCCCTTATTAATAAAATTTTAGGACAATAATGCCTTTATTTTTAAATTTATTTACATGAATGTTGCTTTTACTATTTCACCCCAATTAATTAACTTTTTGGATAAAATTACCCTTGAATTCAAAACAAATTACAGCCTACCCAAGCCACCACCTGTCGCCAGCAACCACTGCCGCCGCGGCCGCCGAAAAGGCACATGGACGGCCGAAAATGGCCGTCGTGTGCCAATGTGGCCATTTCGAGCCAGAGGTTTGGTCGAAAATGGCCATACGGTCTCACGAAGGCCATTTCCTGCCTTCCATGTGCCATTAGGTTGTAGGGGTGTTCAAAAGAACTAATTGGAACCGAAACCGGCGGGTACCTGAGGTTTGGTTCCGGTTCCTACCTGGAACCGGTCGTCAACGAGTAGGTTTGGAACCGCTACTGTGTGGTTTCGGTTCTAGTTCCTATAGTTAGGAATCAGAACCAGAACCAGGAATCGAAACTAATATAAAATAAAATTAAAGAGTAGGGGGGTTAATAAGAATTTTTGTAGAAAAAGTAATGTGAATACATTTATATTTATATTTCATACCAGTTAAAGTAAGTTGGTTTGACTTTTGAGAATATACTTTTACAAAGTAATGGAGTTTGTAATTTTGAATTTTGAATTTTGAATTTATAATTTGTAATTTTATTTTTGTTAACAAATGCCAGGTGGGGGGGCATTTGTAAGTTTTTAAGGGTTTTTTGCCATTTTAAAAACTTTTGGGGGGTACTGTAATTTTACAGGGTACCCAAAACCGAAACCGGAACCATTGTTACAGGTTCCAATTCCAGTCCAAATTTCAAGAAATTGTCGGTTCCGATTTCGGTTCCTTCAAAAAATGCAGGGTACTTGGAATCGAACACCCCTATTAGGTTGCCGGTTGCCGGCGGTAGGCAGTGGTTGGGTTGGTGGGGGTGCTTTGTTGATTTTTCAAACTTTTATTATGGGGTTGTTTTTGCTAAGTTTTTAAATATAGGGGGGTTCTATATAATCCAAATAATAATAATATCAAAAAATAATGTAATTATAATATTTAATTAGAGGACAATTCAGTAATTTAAATAACATACCCACCAATTTATTCCTCCTAACCAAACATATTAATAAAACATACTCACTAATTTATTCCAACTAACCAAACATATTTTCCTAAAGATTCTCAATAATCTAACTTTCCAGTAATCCAACATTCCTAAAAATTCAACATTCCCTGAACCAAACACACCCTTAAAGGCATGCCGGATGATACCCGCAAGTACTCGCATTAAATTAAAAAAATCACTTATTTTTTTATCTAATCTGCACTTTGCTTGGGTTATAATCACTTTAAAATGATGTGAATAATCAACCTTATGATTGAGTTGATGACCATCAATAAGCTTAATTTCTTATACTTTGAAATGGAGAACAAATTAAACACAAACTGAAAGATTAATTTCTTATAAGCATTATGACTCTTTTTGTTTTGGTGGCTAATGCTTCCAGTTTGAGGGGATACTTATACTCCAGGAAAGCAGACAAAGAGTTAAATTTAAGGTAATATATTAATGAGATTCTTAATGGCTTAATTTAGACTTTTCAACTAAACAGTTTATGAAAACAACATGCAAGTGGTGGCTGTGTCAAAACCATTCCCAGATTTTGGTTCCTCGGATTTATAAGTCCCTCCTTTAGTTGTTTTACTGTTGGTTTATCTTTAGTTTAATGATAATTAATCAAAGATTAAAGATGAAGATGAAACAGTTGACGTTTCTGGAGTATTTTAATAAAAGTCTAATCAATATGCTTGAAATTCTAACCTATTAGATCAAACGGATGCCGATAAGATAAATTAGACCCACCAACCTTTTTCATTTCGTGTATAAAACAAACATTAAGATTATGAATTAAATGGATGTGTAGTATTATGCTAAGATTATTATTATTATTTTATATGTCAACCAATATTAAATTGTGTTAACCACTATGCAGGTTGCAAAACCTGTAATTGATTTCCAGTGTGTTTGCCCTGTTTTACCTCTCTAGTTTTAATTTGATCATACATGTCAAGCAAGCTCATGTGAATTAAATGGATTTATTTGGAAAAAAAAAAAGTGAAAATATATATGGGAAGCGGTTGACCACAGGTCAACCCGTACCTGCAAGGGCAAGTACCGGTGGTGCAACTCCTTTCCCGCTCAAAAATTTTACTCGTTGACCCATACTCGTGGAACCTAGCCCATGCCTGCTTGGCCTGTCTGTTTGCCATTTCTATTTGTGATATATGCCTTAATTTAATAAAAAAGGAAAATAAAAATTTATACTGTATGTAAGTATTTTTGTCAACTTATGTTCTCGTGTGGGCACTTCAGAGTCTGTATGGTTACAACGCATCCAATAGATATTTTTTCACAAAGCACATATTGCACTCGGTTTGCAAAGAGGACAATATATTCTCTTTTAAGATATTTGTTGTAGTCCATTTACACCTATCCTCGTATAATTTGATGTACTAGAAAAATTGTTTTACTTTGTTTGTGGTCCCAAAGATTCTTTTCTAGAAAGCAAAACATAAAAGTTGAACTTTAACTTTTTTGTCTCTCAGCCTAGTCGTCTTGTTTTTTATATATTCATATTTTTCTAGTGTCTTCCTTAAGAAACTTAATTGCCTCTTATTCATCATTGAATATCTTGTAAGGTTTTTTTATTCATCTAAGGTTTCTCATATGCTTTGGTAGACTTAAAATTACCTTCTTTTACATTGTCTTTGTTGTGACGATTCTGGAACATAGTTCCATGTTGATGCTTAGATGTGTGCAAGCTACTGTTCTGAAGTTGATATTTTGTTGTTGAAACTTGAAAGCAACTCAAGTGCGACCTGGTGGTTTCGTGTAAAGCTTGCTATGGTAGCTTGAAGTTCAATCGAAGAAGAGAAGATTGATGTGTTGAAAATAAGGAGTGTTTTGCAACTATGTTTTTCTTGTTTTATATTTGAACTCATAAGTTTACATAGTGGATTTGCCTCTTCTGGACTTGGTCCTATAGATATAGACATATTGTCAAACCATGTAAAAATGAGTGTGTTCTTTTTTTGCTTTGATGGATGTTTCATTTATACTTTGAACAACTCTTATGCACAATAAGAACAAACAACTCATTTGCACAAGTTGTAATCATTTTGTTATTCTTTAAAACTTTCACTGTAGTCAATGCATTGTATTAATAGCGGGTGTTTTGCTCAATGATTAGGAATGTATATCAAATAATTAATGACCTAATTAATTAATTAAAAATAAATCCACTTGTTAAGAAAATTGAACAAACCATTCTTTTTTTCGAAAAAAAAAAAAATTACTGATTGCTTTTCCAAATATTTGACTAGTAAGAATTGTTATATCAGATGAATATATATATTTTTTGAGCTTTCGTTATATATATATATATATATATATATATATATATATATAGACACACACGCACCCTACATATTATAAAATATTATCAGTGGTAATTAGACTGTTTAATTGATATTAATCAATGTATATTACTCATCTCATGGCTTTTAAAGAAGTTTGACTTATATTAAATGAAGATTCTAAAATTATACCAAAATTTACATAATCATTCTAAGTTACAACCACTTTTTGTGACTTCCTTCACCATTCATCATTCTTCTATAAATATTTAGCAAGTGAGATGACACCTCCAACAACATAATAACCAGAGTCCATCAGTTTATCTATTGGTGTTAGTGTTGTAGTTAAATCACTGTTCTTTCCAGTAGTTTTCAAAAAATCCAATATATATATATATATATATATATATATAAAATTGTGTTCTCTTTCGATGGGTACTGTTGGTTATTAGATGCTCTCAAATGTGGGTTGTTGGTGAACGAGTCTTGACACTTACCAATTATTTTTTTTCCTAGAAAGAAAATTGATTACTGTCATTTGAAATCAATAATTATCTAATTAAACAAAAAAATTGTGTATTGTACTAACTTATACAATGCAAAATGCGTAACAAACAAATTATACACGTAGGAAACGCAAAACACCTTTATTTACTATCTTCTTCTTTTTAAGATCTTCACAATTGATAAACTTCTTTCTTCAACCTAAGAGAAATATAGTACTTCAATATGTAAAATGTCCAATTTGGGCAAAGAGCTACAAGGAAAAAAAGATTAGGTATTAGGCTTTATTTATTTATTTTGATTTTATGGTGATTTAATGCCAAATTAAAAAAATTGTTTGGAATATTAAAACTTTGGAATTTCAATAACATATACCTTGTTCGATATGCAACATCTAAAGTAGGTTTGAAATTTTAAATGCTCAAGTTCTTTCCCCTTTTAAGGTTTCACTAAATAAAAAATTTACTCTATATTAGCAGTGTTCAATTAGGGTTTTGGAGTTTAATTTGACGGACCAAAAGTAATATATGTTAGTCAAATGAAAAAAATAAAAAAAAACCTACCATGAAATTTATGAGTGGCAACATGTAGGCACACAATGTGCGGCAGAAAGGCACACGATGTGTAGCAACAGCCCACCATGTGCAGCAAATGCCTCCACACCCATGACACATCAATAGCCTGTTGGAGTAGGTGCCCTAGAGCCAATCAATTATTGTAAGATTGACTTTGTAATAAATGTTTATTTATCAATAAAAGACATATTCTTCTATATCGTGTAAATCATAGTTATATGTAATGATATATCTCCTTAGGATGGTAGAACCGTGACGAGAGTATCAAGTGTTTCAAATCTTGATAGTGAGAACCCTATGATCACATATGGTGGCCATTCTAGAAATGTTCGTAGCCCTAGTATTATTCTGACTAAGGACACAGATAATACGGTAAAGCTATCATAGCGTTGAATGACTCTGTCGAAAGGTCGTGACTGATCTCACTTGTCAAGGTTGTTTGCCGACAACCTAGTGCAACGCATGGGTGCTTGCTAGAGGCAAGTTCACTGGATTGAACCACTAGAGGATTCCATATGGATGGTAACCAAAGTGTCTATGGAATAAATCTTCTAACGGATGGTGATGCATGTGAACCTTAGACTTGAGATCACCGGAGCGTCTTGTGCACCAATTGTTGTAGTTTGACACTAGCCCAATGTAGTTCTATTCAGAGCTATCAATACGGTAGTGATTGACTATATTGAGAAGTGTATTAAGACTATGGTAGATCGACAAAGGATTCATCACTCCTGGGTACGGGAAAAGTTATTTCACTGGGTAATTCAGTAAATAACAATGACACTAAATTTGTGGCCACAGTGGGATTGAGTTGTTGCTCAATCCAATTTATTATTCCGGTCATTGGTCCATTAACTAAATACAAACATGTCGATGATAGATGAGGTTGACACTATTTCTGTACCTCAGTCTTGATGAGATAACAGATGATGAAAGGATTTGATTGCACAGTAACCATACCGTTGACAGGCTGCGATTCGAATTTATCGGGTAGCCATGATGCCTTGCTAGGGGCCAATCTTGGTCTACGTGTAGTGAGATGATTAATTGGTGTTAATCGCGATACTACACACTACCGATCTGATGAAAAGCCTACGGGTCACACACTTAGAAGATAATTTAAGAATCAATTTGTGAGAATGGTATTTTGGTAATCTCACGGTGCAATTAAATTTGCTGAGGTTGTTGCTTGTATTTAATTTTAATATTAAAATTAAATTAGTGAGATTATATTTAAATATATCTCTGTACATATTTAAATGAATTATTATTATTAATTAAATGTTAATATATTATTATATTTTAATTGATTTTAATTATAATAATAATTAATTAATTAAAATACCATAAACGGTGTGTTTGGTTGCAAAGGTGAATTAGGGTTGGAGCCTATGGCTATTCCTAAGTGGAATAGAGTTTTAATTGTTGCACTATATAAGTGCAACTTAAAATTAAAACAAAAGGGAATTTTTCAATAATCAAAAACCCTAGCCACCCTATCTCTCTCACGTTACACTCTTGAGTGAAGAAGAATATTTTTCTAGTTCTTCTTTCTTGATTCTTGAAGCCCTTGATTGTTCTAGCAAAATAATCTAGGGTTCTACAGATTGTCTTCGTGTGGATTTTCGTGAGTGCGATCCTACTTTGGATCGATTAGCGAAGAATCACTTGAACAATGTCAATAAACAGTAACCGATGAATAATGTTGATGAACATTGTAGATGAATAGTAGCTGATGAACATTGTTGTGAACAGTGTTTGTAAGCGTAGTCAGAGATATTCGGAGGAGCCTCCAAATGTGTGTAAGCATTCTGAATCCTTGTATGGATTTATGATATTGTTGTAATGCAAAACTTGTAAATATTATAATCTATACCTAGATTTGGGATTAAAGCATATGATTGGTTTTTATTTGTTTTAAAAACTGTGTTTTTTTGTTGCTTAAACCGATCACTTACTAACATAGCCCACCATGGCAAAACAACAGACAAACCATGACACTACCCAGCCACACCATGGCACAATAGTAGCTCACCATGGTAGCACCCAGCCACAACCACCAATACCTGGTACCCAACAACCACCAACCTCGTCACCACCACCACCCACACCCATCAAGCCACATTGGCACCACCAAGTGCCACCACCCATACTGCCCATCACCAGGTGCCACTACCACCACGTGCGACCACACACACTACCCACCAAGCCATACTAGCTACCATCAAGTGCTACCACTCACACTGCCCATCAAGCCACTATTGTTGCCACCACTAAGGCACACTACCACCATCCCCTACCATGCCGCCACATTGTGGTCTGTGTTCTCACAACTAGGTGGGTGCTGGGGCTTGGCACATGCCTTGGCCACCTATGGCACCAATGTGCAACTAAATAGCCCACATTAACCTCCTCTGCCTCAAAACAAGCCAAGTAGCCTTGCTGTTGCCTGTTTTCCCATAGTTCAGTGTTGTTGCTAAGGCTGCCGCTCATGGCACCCATGCTTCTAGGAAGAGCCGATATCGACCGATCAAAAAGCAATGTCGCTATGAACGCTTGACTACCACAAGCTAGTTATCCTTGTAGTAACTTTTCTAACACATCTAGCTTCAAATTCCAAAAGTCTAAAGGATTAATGAGCCACATTTTCACAGTTCATATTCATACTAAAAATCAAAATCAAACAAGATTTTATCCTTTTGCTCCACACGAGACTTCGACCCGAATCGGCCTGCCGAGATGGGCCTTGGGTCCAAAAAAAGGAAAGTGTCCCAC